AACAGTTGAACACTCACACCAAAGAACGTGTCCCAGGCCACTTTTGCGACTTTGCGAGACTGTGTGCGATGAAAGTTCCAGAAGAAAAGAACTCAGTTCTCTGGAAGTGAAGTGGAATTGAGAACTGCCAGGACCTAAATTGCGAAGTCTTTGAGAAACAAAAGGCAGGTTGCCATTCATGGATAGGAAGCTGAAACCCACAGATTGGGAAGCCCAGCCCTCCAGTCACCACTGGCGCCTGCTCCACCGAGCCAGTCACCACCTGCGCCGCCGGGCCGCCCACGTCGCCCGTGAAGCGCAGCGCCGCATTGGCAGCGCCGAAGCCTCGGGCCGCGAAGCGATAAGGACTTCTCGGAGCCAACGAAGCAACACAACATGGAGCGATGTAATGTAGTGGCCCTGAATTTGGGAGTTGGACTTTAGTCCAGTTGGGGGCAACATGGCCCGTTACAAAAGCTGAGAGTTGTGCTGCAGCTACTAGCGGTCAATTGGCACGGTGGATCAAGGGACAAGTCTTCTTGTGGCTCCGAGTCACCCATCTGCGTCGCCGTCTTCGCGATGCCAAAACCCCAGCTGACACCTTGTTGCCCCACCGTCACCGCGTCCAGGGCTACTCCTGCGCGACCAGAAACCAAAATAGAAAACAAAGAGCAACGGAACTGCGGTTGCTTGGAATAAGCAAATAACAATAAAACTTTACTATTGCAATTATCGTGTTCAGGTATACAGTATGTTTACGATATTTTACAATAACTCTGTGTAGTTGCAATGGTGAAGGGTATTTGGACTGTCCGTTATATAATATATAAAAAATTGAGCACACATTCAAGTTCAAATTTAAAAAACCAAGAACAGGTGCAAAAACATTCAAGTCAATGGCCTGTCAGCGGATTAGGAGTTGCACAGAACGAATGAGCCATGAAACTGGTCAGTCAGTACCAAAGGTGATGCTGAACAAGTACCAAGGCCATGGTCTCAACCCCGCCCAGAATCCCTCCTAGGCCAGATGCTGAACGCGCAGGTGCAGCTTGCACGTCTTCCATGGCTGCGTCCGCTGGCATCTTCACTAGTTGCAGCGATGATCAGCACGGCCAGTCCAAAACTGGATGTGGCGTAGCACAGAAGTTCCTACAAGACTAGCTACTAAGGTTCACACCATCTTGTAATGATGCACGAGTTTCACTGAGATTGCCTGTTCTCAGATTTCTGCAAGTGTTTCGACTCCCTTCTCTCTTCCTGCTCTTTAGCGTGTGATTCTTATCCTCTGGATTCGCTGCCAAACAGCTCTGGGAGCTGCGGTGCGAGAGCGATCTGCCCTTTTGGCCTGCAAGGCGCCTTCATGTGCCTTGTGATGGTGAAGCCACGACGAAACAAGCATCCTGACCACCAAAGAAAAAGAAAAGTGATCATCTTCACTTCACGCGCGATTTTACTGGAAATCGTGTTCATGTCTATCTATCTGTCTATCTATCTAGCTAGCTATCTATCTATCTATCTGTCTATCTATCTATCTACAGTAGCTATCTATCTATCTATCTATCTATCTATCTACAGTAGCTATCTATCTATCTATCTATCTATCTACAGTAGCTATCTATCTATCTATCTATCTATCTATCTATCTATTGATGTGTCTGTCTACCTGGCTATCTATCTATCTCTCTGTCTATCTATCCATCCATCTATCTATCTATCTATCTACCGATCTGTCTAGCGATCTATCTACCTGTCTATCTGTCTGTCTGTCTGCCTACCTATCTATATACCTATCTGTCTACCAACTTATAGGGGTTAGCAGACTTGGCATTTGATTTTTGGGAGCCTTTAGGGAAGCTTTGGCAATCCCTTTTGGCAACCGCCAGCCCGCGTCAGCGGCTGCGATATCCTGGCGCTGCAGCCCGTCGAGCCTTGACAGCAAGGGCAGATGTGGTTTTGAGGTCAGAGATCGGGTTTTAGCCCTGGAGTGGCTGTGGTTTGGACTTAGTGATCCTACCCGACGACGCGAGTGTGGCTTTGTGGCTTTTGAAAGCTTCTCTGTCTGTCCAAGCAGGGATGGAACCCAAGAATAGGTCATCCAGTCACAGCATGAGCAGAAGCTTCACCTAAGCTCTCATCAGACCGCTATATGTGACTTGTTACATCTTATTACACGTGCTGCGCCACCCCTTTCCATTCACCAGCATCGCTCCACGATGAAGCTGAGGAACCACTGCGGCGCGCACTCCCCATTCCATCAACAAAAGGCAGGGTGAGAAGTCAAACATTGGGAGAAAGAAGTCGGGCTAAGATTTCGTGTCATACTGTGGCTTTCCCTTCAAGAGAATCCTCACGTTCAAGAGAAGCACTTGAGAAGTAGGCTTCCAGAAGTTCTAGCATCATAAAGGTCCACGCATCCCAAATAAACCCACACCCAATTACCAAGCCCCATGCCCATCCCCACACAATTGAGGGTCCCCGCATTCGGGGTGTTCTCTTGCCCTGCAATGACCCTGCAATCCTGCTGACTAGGCATGGTGATGAGCTGGGACTTCAACATACCAGTGAAGACCCCCGTTTGCGCAGCATGATCATCATAAAGTCACAAAGATATGCATGTACTGCGTCTGAAGTCCAGCGTCCATACCTTTTGAGCAACGAGAAGTCTCACCAGGCGCAAGGTCTGTGGAAATTACCATTGCCTAAGCTAGCGCCAACACTACACCAAGCATGTCCAACATTTGGGTCTATGAAGAAACACCGCCCACGCGACTTACTTCTTGAACCCCTGACTGGACTTTGTCCAGGCTCACAAGCTAGAGTCCAAGCATGGTTGGGCGCAGGTACCATGCTATATATATATATACCACTTACCCTTCTGAAAAATCAAACGTTCAAAGCCAAAAAACACAAATTTTACAGGACAGAGGCAACAAGCTGACAACCACATCTAGATTCACGCAACTGCTTCATGGTTGGTGCCACTGGCTTGCTGTCCGTATCTGCAGCAAGCTCCAAGGAGAACAAGTGATGCTCTCAATGGAGATGGCTCCCAACCAATCCTCCACCACTGGCTCCACCACGCAGCTATAGCAGGGACGGTGAGCTCCCATGAAACAGCTGACCATTGCGCACCCTCCTGGAACGCAATCTGCGATCACACACACAACTTCAGCCAAAAAACACAACCAAAGAAGCAAAGACTAAGAGCTTCTTTCCAGCAAAGCCATGCGTCAACCACTTCACGCAGCAGACAATAGGTAGCATCTGGGCCTGTCAGCGCCTACGTCGGCACTGGACCTCACAACATTGTTGGAACCCATTCTCCTTCCCTCAGTGAAGGCACAACTCTTTTTGTGGGTGACACATCATTGAGGAAAGTTACAAGACACCTTGCCCGTCATTCCTGCGTGGCCTGCTCCAAACCGTTCTCATTGCACTGGAAACATTTACCAGTGCAATGAAGTTGCGCCACATGTGGGTCACTCTCCACTGAAGGGGTCTCCGCCAAATTGATTAAAATTTGCGGCTTGTTCTGGGCAGTGGTAAGGAGCAAGATTGCGGTAGGAGAAGTTCAAGAACGCATCCACATGGCAGGATTTGGGGCTGCCCCTGCGGCCATTGAACTTCCTCTTGTGCGGCTGCCTTGAGAACGCATCAGGCGGTCCACCTGAAATGCCAGGGTCTATTCCCCAAGTCTAAATGGACCAAAGTCTGTACAAATGAGTCTTGACATGTTGTTTAAGGGTAGGAAGTTCAGGCTAGGGAAAATAAGAGAGCTGTTTTTGTTCCCAATTGACATGTTTTGGCGCCCGTCGCCTTCTCAAGATTTCCAAAAAGTGTTGGTTCACCTCTTTCTGGTCAATGCCAGTCACGCACTGCTGCACATGCTCCCATGGGGGAAAGTAAGCTAAAGGATCATAACACAAAGTTCAACTGCTGTGCGGGCCCCATTCCCCATCAAACAAACAACACCAATGCAACAGCATATTGACCTCAAGGCTTCCAGGCGGTCCATACGAGTGTTGCTCTTCTTGAACGCTGCCGCGCAATGCTTTTTGCAGGAAGATTTTTCTGGGGAGGCTCGGGCTTCTCTCCAGATAGCCTGGAACAATGAGAGAATGAAAAGGAACCAGTGGTTCTCGCATTAAGAAGACCAGGAAGTTCCTGTGCGCCCATGCAAGATGAATGGCAAAATATGGGAAAACACAAGTGGTTCAAGTTGATCATCAAGTCACAGCTCCCCAAAGCTCGTAGGCTTCCTTGCTGGTGTGGACTGCATGCACGGTTCGACCTCTAAACTCATGTCATCAGCCGGAGAGAGAGAGAGAGAGAGAGATGATGGGTGGACCAAGTTCGATCAAAGTGGAAAGGGCTGCCACCTTTCGATCCAAGCGGGATAGGGGCAAATGAGTGCTCATGTCTCCTCAAACCACGTTCTCATGGTTTTTAGCGTGCAAGGGCTGGGTGACTGGTCCACTAATCTCTGGGCTAGATTCCAGGAATCTCTACATAGATACAATGACATCACACACTGCCAGTTGAGAAGCTTCTGAGAAACTCACTGCCTGGATACCCCCACTTTGCACTTTAGATCATTTTACTTGCACAAATCCCATGCCCAGTTCTCCTCCACCGGCAGGCTGCAGCGCCAGCCCCGTAATCCGGCAGCCAGCAGCAACCAGCAAACACTGAGCACACCCCCCCACCACCACCACCAACCAAAATTGGTTGGGAAGAACAGCATGGCAACAGTAGGACTCACTCTAATCCCAAGACCCCTCAAATCCATCGCCAACTACCCCTAATCAATTGCAATTCCTTCTATCTATCTATCTATCTATCTATCTATCTAGTCTGTTCTATTCTTTTCTATTCTATTCTATTCTATTATTCTATTCTATTATTCTATTCTATTATTCTATTCTATTCTATTCTATGCTTCTATTCTATTCTTGTGAGCTTCTTGGCTCGGTGGATGTCTGCATGCCCAGTTCTCATTTGGACGAGCTGAGCTGCCCTGCGTGCACCCAGCGCCACGACTCCCCCAGCCGCCCAGGTAGACATCTGGGCGAAGAGAACTCAGGAGGGAATCACTGAAGGACCATGAATATTGGATGGCAGGACAAAGTGCCAAAGTATGACATGCCTCGTATGATTAGATAGACTGGATGATGCGAAATCGAGTCAAATCCAGTACATAATTGATCGTAATTGTAAGTTTGAGCTGCCCTGGTTTTTGCCCCGAAAAACATGATGGTGTCATGAGCGAGGCAGGTTCGGAAAAGCGCCCACGCACACAGTGGTGAATTGAATCGGCATAAAGAAAAGCAGGCCACTCCCTGCGTTACTTGAACTTGGATGCACTTTCGGGTAAACCCAAACATGGAGCGTCGTTTCACGTGATCAAGCCAACATAGCCGCTGCATGTTGGTGAGAACCAATGATGGATGGATTGATCTACCAGTGAGGTTGGTTTGACATGGGCCCACGAAACAGGGGTTGATCAAATCTGTTAACCTGGCAAGTCGGAATCACAGGCCATTCCACCTGATCCATCTTGGCTGATACAGAACTGTTTACGTGTCTGGCTGGAGAAAGTATCCCCTGTGAAATTACCCGTGAATGCCGGGCATGCCATTTTATAGTTGCAAATGGCTAAACCAACCTCTTCAGGGGCGTTCCTGCGCTATAGAATGAAATGCTCAACCATTGAAGTGCTCAGGATCTGTTCTTTATAAAATAGCTCAGCTCGACCTGTTGGACGCTCAAACAGTGTCCCTCATACATAAAAGTGTGTTTCCAAAAAATTGGAATTTATAAAGAACAACCAAGGTTGAAGGTAATTCTATAGACAAGTGGGGACAATGTCGAGGTTGGATTGATTGTAGAATGAAGATGATTGGATGGCAAATGCACAAGAGGTTGATCAACTACTTTATAGAGACATGCTTGGAGACTGCAAGGTTGAAAATGACTTTAGAAGAAGGTTGGACAGCAAATGCGAACATATACAGAGAGAGAAAGAGAGAGAGAGAGAGAGATGATTGGAGTCTAAAATGCTCAACATTCACCAGTACAATCACAACCATGACCCATATAAAATCACAGTACAGTTGCATTTGTTCTCTGTAAAATGGTTCAGTTCAACCTATTGACATAATGAATCATCTTTTTCAATGGACAAATTTTTATCTTAGCCTTTTTTAGGTCGAAATCTCATTCTACAGAAAGAGTATATATATATACTGTATATTACTGTATCTATAAAATGTGCCCTCGCGTTTAGCTCGACCTCACTCATTTTGTAGAGGGTATTGGGTAGGGGATGAGAAACCTGTCTGCCCAGTCTAGCAGGATCTTTGCCAATACCCTCCAATACCCACATGAGCGGCTCACAGAAGGCAAAAGAAGACTTCCGGGATCAAGAAAGGAAACAAGTATATATCTTATGTCAAGCGGGGTGGGAAACGCCTGCCATGGAGCCCAGACAAGTCGGTCAGTCCCTGTCCCTGGGTCAGCCCGACAAAGTCTCCTAACGAGGGATCAAACGTGTGCGCCGAGGCCACCAAAATCACTGAGGTCTCGTGGACCCCGTACCTCCACAGGGGCCAATGGCATGCCGCATCGCATGGGGAATGATGGGAATGCAATGCCCCCTCTGTTACAAGAATTGACTCCCCAAGAAGTCTGTCCTGGTTGATCCTCTTTTGGGTCTTTGTTTCGGAGGGAACGGGACGCCTTCGATTTGAGCAGCTTCTGGCCACGCCTCGAGCCTGCTTTGTCCGAACAGTACTATTCACAGGAGACCCTTGCTGCACGTTGTAGTATAAACTTGCCCAGCAGCAGGCGTTTTAAGGAAGGCTTGGCTTGCATTGCATGTCGGTGAAGAGAATTAACTACTCTGTCGGTCAGTCGGCGGGGTGGTAAGAAAACAAGAATCGGTTCAGAACCGCAGCTGCCCTGGATCTCACCTAATTAATTAGCCAAATTCAGCCACACTTGAAAATACCTAAGGTTAGCCACACTGCAAGCAATCAAATTCTCGTCCAAGGCTAGGGCTGCATTTGCAAGGGTGGTCTTGAGCTTGGAGCTCTGTTACTAGTTGGTGCCAGAGTTAGCTTCATTGACGAAAGGCCGCTCGCATCCGATGTCGAAGGCAAAGAATGCATTCACCGAGCAAAGCATTATGTACAGACCCACTCCAAGAAAAACATCGCCTGATACCTAAAGCAAGTTCAAGCGGCATGACAAGACATGGCGGGTGAAAGCTTGGAGCAAAAGGGCCACGGAAACCTCGAGGAAGAACACATCAACAAGATAAACACAAAGAAACATGACCAATGACCACCACCAAAAAAAAAACAGCTGCTCGGATGAACATTTGCACTCTGCAAACCAGGTCGGAAAAACACGGAAAGCGGAGCAGCAACATTTTATTGCTGCAGGGTAGTCGGACCTAATTTGTTCACGGTTTTTACGGTGTTTTACGCACACTACGCAGAAGACCACCTGCCCAAGTCGAACGGCAGAGAAACCATACACTTGTCGGACCTAGTCTGTCCGGTTTTACGATGTTATACGCACATGACGCAAAAAGACTACCTGCCCAAGTCAAACAGCAGAGAAAAAACAGCCAAGTGGACGAACATCGCTGCAAAAAAGTAAAATAGCAGCAGCAAAGTGCACAGCAAAGCCTTCAACATAGATCCCACAGCCCCAATCACTTCCAACATACCTCCACAAGAAGCCTCTAGAGAGCCCCAACATTGGGCGAAACGTGCCAACATGGAGAAGGATATGCCCTAAGAATGCACCAAGGTCGCCGAAGATTGGCGCAAACATGCCCCAAATTTGACTGCCCATTGGAGCAAGCTTTCGTAAGCAACAAAAACGACAAAAAAACTGTCAAAGCCACCTTTCTTACACTTGTCGGACCTCATGTTTCACGGATTTATGGTGTTTTACGCACAGTACGCAAAAGACCACCTGCCAAGTCAAACGGGGCAGAGAAAAAGCAGCCAAGTGGACCAACATGGCCGCAAAACAAGTAACATAACAGCAGCAAAGCCTTCAACATAGCCCTGATCCAGCCCCCACGGCCCCAATCACTTCCAACATACCTCCACGAGAAGCCTCAAGAGAGCCCCAACATTGGGTGAAATGTGCCAATATGGAAAAGGGTATGTCCCAAGAATGCACCAAGATCGCCGAAGATTGGCACAAACATGCCTCAAATTTGACCATCCACTGGAGCAAGCTTGCATAAGCAACAATAACGACCAAAAATTGTCAAACCCACCTTTCTTACACTTGCCGGACCTCATTTTTCATGGTCTATAATTTTATATATAGTGCTTGACACACACTACGCAAAAGACCACCTGCCCAAGTCAAATGGCAGAGATAAAGCAGCCAAGCGGACCAACATGGCTGCAAAACAAGTAACAGAACAGCAGCAAAGCCTTCAACATAGCCCTGATCTAGACCCCACACCCCCAATCACTTCCAACATACCTCCACGAGAAGCCTCAAGAGAGCCCCAGCATTGGGCGAAACAAGTAACATAACAGCAACAAAGCCTTCAACATAGCCCTGATCTAGACCCCACGGCCCCAATCAC